GCAAGTCACTGCTTTTACTCCGCCATCTTGGCTCTGCCCCTAGTAACTTTCTATAATCAGGTTCTTTTGTTATATTAAAGTTGGCCTCTGCTCCTTGGGTGGAGGGGGCAATGTTCCAAACTTCAGGCCTTTCTTGCTGTAGCTCTCAAAGCTAGTTCTGGGGGTCCATAAGTTCCCAGTTCTTCCACAGTGGTATGATCTAAAGAGAGGTGTTGTCACTGCTCTCCTGGTCTGTGCTCTCATCTGTGAGCGACCACAAGAACTCTTTTCCACCATAGAATTGTGATCAGAGTTCCCACTCTTGCTTCTCCTCTCTCTAGGAATGAAAGTTGGAACTGCGTATAAGCAATGCAATGGAGTCCTGTACCCAATGCCAGCAAAATGACCCTTATAATCTCCTTCTGACTAGTTGTCCAACCCCCTTACTGGGCTAAGAGCTCCAGAGGCCACTGCTGATACCAATTCAGTCACTCAACAATGTTAAATACTACAGAGGTCAAGAAAGATGAAGATTGAGAAAAAACCAGAAAATTTCCTTTTTAAAAAAATCTTTGATATGACAATTATAGATAGGTGAAATCAGAATCCTTTGGTGGGGGGGGCAGTGGTGGGGAGAACAACTCTGGGTATGAAAGCCAATTAAGTCAATAGAATGGCTCAGACCTTATGGGAAAAACAGGAACAAAAAGAACCTTGTGTGGATCCTGGCACCTCAAGCTTAGAATGTTGAAAAATGAGCTCATTATCATTCTCTTAAAATAGGCATTCATTCCCAATTTCCCCAATACCATACCACCACTTGGTTCCCAGGCTTGAACACTTAATATATTTTTTACTTTTTTCTTTTTTCTATTCTAGATTACATACGCACAAAGATAATCACTTGGTTTATAGTTGTGGTTTATATTATTTTACCATTTGTTCCTGGAATTATTTATTTGAGCCTCACTCTACAGTATATATTTAGTAATCCTATCAATAGTCAAGAAGGTGAGCATAAAAGGGTATTTCACAATTTAAGCAAGAGCAATATATGAAAATTAATCAAACATTAAACACCTACTTATATAAAATCAACTGTACTAGAACCTATTGCTAAGTAACATTGCTACCTTTCAACATGCTTCAAATACAGATATACAAAGGAATTAAATCAGAAGGTCTAAAGAATTAAATTAGAAATTCACTCAATAGATTCACAAATTGAATCTTTTGAACAAAATGCTTCCCTGAAGCATTATTATTCAATTTATGAACATTCAAATTACAGACTATTCAGGAAGATACTTATTTTGTAAAAATGAATACATGTGAACTTTTATTGTCTTTTAAAATACTCCTGGAGAGAGACAGCAATGCTATCACTAAAAAAAGAGACTTAAATTATATAGTTAATAAGGGTAAGAGCTAGAATGACCATCACTGAAAATTGATTTTGTGCAAGTCATTTAATCTATCAAGGCCTCAATTTCCTCATCTGTAAAATGAAGAAGTTGAGTTAAAGATAACCATAAAGGTCCCTTCCAACTCCAAATCTATGAATTTATGAACTCTGAATTTAAAGGGAAAAAAATACACACAACTCAGCAAAACAACAAATTCCGTAACTAAATAAAGCTCATAGGCAAAGTAGTAGGAAAAGTCAACTTGACATCAATTCTAACTGCACAAACATCACTGATATTTCTTAATAGTCCATCTTGGATTTAGTGTATAGATGCAAATGTCTGAAACACTTAACTATCTTCTTATCTTTACCTAAATAAGCTGTAGCTAATTTAAATAAATGAAATTCTAGTGTGCCTTCTACAGTATTTGGACTTTCATTTCACTGAACAGATTTTTAAAAAATTACGCTTTCTGGTCACATACTTTTGAGATGGAGTTTCCCGATCTCCCTGGAAGTAGTGTCCACTCATGGGCCCAATTCCACTACTGGTCAGCACAGGAGCTCTGATCTAGGCTAGTTCCCTCTTCCTCAGTCAGCCTAGAGGACCTCCCAGTCCTGAGGCTCCCCATATTGGTTCCAGACTTAGTGTTCAAATATCTTTTCCTACTGTAGCTTAAAACTCGAGCTCAAAAGCCACCAGATGCAGTTCCTCAGTAGCAAAGGTGTACCACCATCCCTGACAACGTTAGGAATCAAAGTTTCTCCTTCTTCAAATATGTATTTTTCAAAGCAGTTTCCAAGAGAAAAAACAGAAAGGATGATTGGACAATACTTCCTGAAGGATCCATGATTTCATAGGTACAGGTGCACCTTGTACTGATGCAGATCATTGCTAGTCTTTTCTACAACTTGATAGGCTCTCTTATTGAATTACTGTTGCTAAAAAAAAAAAAATCTTTCAGCATAAGAAGCTTGGCAGAATATAAGTTTACACAAGAATCTTACATGATATACCATGATAATTTCCAAATGGATCACTGACATAGATTTTTAAAAATTATACAGTTAAAAACTGGAGGGGAATGAGTGATCCTATCTTTTATAACTGTAGATGGGGAAACTACTTATATATATTGGGGAAACAAGCCCATACAAAGAAGGAATTGTAAGAGACAAAAGAGACAATTATATAAAATTAATAAAAACATAAAATGATATCATATTTCATTATACTAATTTTCACACAAATAAAAGCAATGTATCCAGAATTTTTAAAAGCTATGGACTTGGGAAAAATCTTTGCATTAAACATTTATAATAAAAGTCAAATGTCCAAAATCTACAGGAAACTGACACATAAGATTGAGAGTCATTCCACAAAAGATAAATTGCTAGAGATAAACTGATAAAGAAGATGAAGTGTAGTTTTTTAAAATAAAAAATTATCAAAAATCATGTGAATAGTATTCAGCATCACTAGTTATAATAAAAATACAAATTAAAACAAGTCTGAGCTATTATCATTCACACATCAAATTGAAAAAGATGGTAAAAGAAAAAAATATATATAATGTTAGGGTTGTGGGAAAAGCATAGTAATTCCCTACAGGTGGAGCTGTGAACTTACCTGAACCATTCTGGAAAGCAATATGGAATTAGAGAACAGAAATTGCAAAAATGTTCCTACCTTCTGACCATCAATTCCACTATTTTTTTAATACCCTAAGAAGGCTGACAGGAAGAAAAGACCTATTTGTATAGAAATATTCATAATAATAATGTTCTGGCAGCCCTGGAAAAGAGATGAGAAAATTTACCTCCCCACAGGTGCGGGATGCTACATATGAAGTTACTAGATTTGGCTATTTAGATTTGGCAATTAAGAGATTATAATTTTGGAGAATGCAAGCAATTTGGATTGAATGATGAGGTCAGAAGCCAGCCTGTAGAGATTTAAAATGAGAAGAAGCAGAAGCACCTATTGTAAATGGCCTTAATAAAGACTTCAGCCACAAAAGATGAAGAGAGTTATGGGATGATAGTGGGACTACATGGATTAAATGAGGGATTTTTAAAGATGGGGGAGACATGAGCATGTTTGCACGCAGCAGAGAAGCAGCCAATAGACAGGGAGAGAATGAACATAAATTGAGAGAGGGTTTGGGGGTAAAAATAATGAGTTCAGTTTTAGACATGTTACATTTGAGATGTCTACAGCACATTCAACTTGAAATGCCTAACAGGCAGTTGGAGATACAAGACTGGAGGTTAGCAGAGAGATTAGAGATTTGTAGATAAGTAGATTTGAAATCATTAGCATAAAGATGATAATTGAATCCATAGAAGCTGATGAGATCACCAAGTGAAATGTACAGAGGGAGAAGAGATGAGGGCTCAGGACAGAGTCCTGAGGGATAACCAGAGAAAGCAGGTAGGACATGGAGAAAAATCCAGAAAAGGAGACTGAGGAGCTGTAAGATAGGTAGGAGAATCAGAAAAGAATAATGTCTCAAAAAACTAAAGAGAAGAGAGTATCAAGGATAAGAGTGTCATCAACAGTGTCAAAAGCTGAAGAGAGGTTATAATGAATGAGGACTGAGAAAAGGTTATTAGATTTGGCATTTAAGAAATCATTAGTAACTTTGGAGAGAGCAGTTTCAGTTGAATGATTGTATGGAAACCAGTCTGTAGAGAGTTAAGGAGAGAAAGTAAGAGGAAACGAGGTGGAGCTATCTATACTAGATGGCTTTCTCAAGGAGCTTAGCCACAAAAGGTAAGAGAGATATGGGATGAGAGGGAAGATGGATGAATCAAATGAGAGTTTTTTGAGGATGAAGGAGAAATGGACATGTTCATATGCATTTGGAAAACAGCTAGTAGATAGGAAAAAAATCGAAGATAAAAGAGAGAATGAGGATGATAGAGAGAACAATCTTTTGGAGAAGATGGGAGCATAGAGAGACTATGATTACCCTATTCCCAGAAGCTATATCTCATCTTCAAGCAGCCTAGGATTGTATTAGCTTTTTGGGCTGCTGCCAAAACTTTGTTGAACCTAATTGTGTAAATAAAAAGGGATACTACTTGCAGTAGCTGCCTCAGAGAGTAGTTGTGATAAATAATAATGTATGTTGTAAACCTTAAAGCATAATGTAAATGTAAGCTATTACTATCATTAGTTACAACTGAAAGGATTTTTTTTTGTATTGCTGTAATTATTAGGGCAATAAAAAAATCTTAAAAACAAGAAATAAGAATGAAATAAATTTATAAAGATATTATATTCATTTTCGGGCAGCACTCAAAAGAGTAATGATTTTGTTATGATACCAAAAGCCTAAGTGTGAGTAAAACAGCTTTCTTTGTAGAATATCAAAGGCTAGACTAGTAAAAACAATTACTATATAATGAAAATGCCCATAAGAGATGAAAAAGTTAAGATGGTAGTTTTGAATTTGCTTTAAGTTATACAAGTATTGATTTGTAATTTTAGCATTATGAAATTATTTCAGATATCTCTTAAAATCCTCATTTATAGAAAAATGTAAAGATTGTATGAAGGATTAATGTCAGTATAATAATTCAATTAAAATATGTTATTTATACTTACATGTAATAAAAACTAAGAAAGTCCTAATAATGAGTTCACATATTAGCTTTGATTTATTCTGAAATTTGGATGTAATTCCTGGAATGATGATTTCTGCTGGAACATAGAACTGAATTGAGTAAGTCACAAAAATCCCAAAGGAATACAGAATTTTCACTGATTGATACAACCTGTCAAAAATATTTGAACAAAGATTAATCATCATATAAAATGCAATCTCTGGCTTATAGCACTTTATATCTTTCCTTTGCCATTATCACAATTTACATTTGTGTAAATATCATAGATCCCCTCCCCTATACAACCAGTAAGACTATAAGCTCCCTGAAGGTAGGTAGTATGTCATTTTTCATTTTTTGTGTGCCTAGTATATAGCACAAGGTATGTTCATAGCTTTCCAATTTCTGAAACTCTTGACTCTGAATTCAGTATTTCAAGGTATAAAATACTTTGTGTCTAAAGATGATATAAATCTTCAGTTAAAAAAAAACAAGCCATCTGTTTCTATTTTTATATTTTGACATCTACTATAATTCCTTCTTAGGATGAAAAATCTACATTGTTAAGGGTGGTCTTTCTCCTGATTTCAAAAACATTCATGATAAATCACCTTAGATTATAATATACACTAATTCTTATTCAATAGATAGTACTTGCTATTGAGCATCAATCTGAAAAAGCAAGGGAACAGAAGGAAAAATGTGCAGAGAAACAACGAAGACATTTATCAGTGACACAATTTGTACATGGAAGAGGAAAGAGTAACAGTTGTTCCTTTACTACTCTTTGTTGTAAGGAGAGGAGAATGTAAGCTCTTTGAGAGCAAGGATAGTCCTCTTTTTGTCTTTATACCCTTGTACCTGGAACAGTGCATTACATATAGTAGACTCCATCTACCATGTCTGCTGCACTGAAGTCACTGTGGAAGTCAGGTTCAAAAGTGTCCTTACTGGCAATGGTTATAGAAGCTATTAATTGGTAATGGGAGGAAAAAACACAATCTATTTTTTCACAGTACTCAGAGAAGATGTATTTCCATAGATCACATCTATAATAATGAGCTTAAAAAGGGTCTCCTCAATCTTACTGATAAAAGTCAGTAATGATGTGACAGTGGCTCTGCTGTTCTCTCTGTTTTCCTCCCATACACCAAGTCCTTCTCCACTAGTTAGTTCAGGCTCTGAACAAACCAAATTTACTTGGTTCCCTCTTTGATCTCAATTCTTTCCCCATATGCCCAAGTCCTACTTCTCGATTACTCTATATTTAAATTAAAATATTTTCCTTCTTTATATGCAAAAGTAAATCATAATCAAAACTTCTTGTCTTTCTGTAATGGGTTGAAAATGATGAAATTTTACATGTCAAATTGACAAAAACTGACAAAGAATGTATTTTTAAAGTTAAAATTTACATTTACCAAATACAAATGTAACTAATTTATATTAGTATTGAAATTACAATAAATGGAGCAAAAATTATATATGTCTACTTACCATTCATCTTGAGGAAGATTTAAAGTTATGCTGCCTTTGATTTCATCTTGAAAACGCATATATCCGAGGGTGGCTAATGTTATGTACAGAGTAGTAACAATCCCCATGCCAATGTTCAATGCTTCTGGGAAGCGTTTTGTTTCTTTCATTTGATTTTCCAATGGGAGTACCTGAGGATGGGGAGAGATTAAAAAAAAAAAGATATGCATAATAAAATCATAGAATTTTAGTGTTGAAGAAGACCTTAGAGGTCTCAAGTCTAATCTCTTATTTTATAAATGAGGGAACTGAAGTAAAGAAAAATGAAATGATTTACCAATGTTATAGATTCAAAAGTAGAACCCAGGCGTCCTGATTAACAGTATAGGACTTTACTTTCAGTTTTATTGATGCCTTTTCTTTTTCTCATCAGTCATTTCTGTTCATACCCTGTCGCCGACTCACTCGGTGAGCCTTCCTTTATAACAGAGAAAGAATCAAATAAAATCAACTGACATAGTTGGCAGCACATTGGCCCTGGAGTAAGGAGGACCCGAGTTCAAATCTAACCTCAAACACTTCCTACTGGACAAGTCACTTAACCTCAGTTTCCTCATCTGTAAAATGAGCTGGAAAAGGAAATGGCAAACCATTCCGATATCTTTGCCAAGAAAACCCCAAATGGGGTCACGAAGAGTCAGACACGACTGAAACAACTCAACAACAAATGACATAGACCACGTCTGACTATACAGATACCATTCCGTCCGTCACCTCTCCAAGGAAAGAAGTATATTTCATCTTATCTCTTTTCTGGGGCCAATATTAATCATTATGATTATGTATCATTTGACTTGATTTTACTTGTGTTTGTCTACATTATTGAAGTCACTGAATATATTGTTTTCCCGGTTCTGCTTACTTTACATCAGTTCATACAAGTCTCCTGATGTTTTTCCAGATCCCATCATATCAATCACTTCTGTGGCTCAATAATATTCCACTACATTCACATACCACAATTCATTCAACCATTCTTCAATGAATGTACACCCACTCTGTTGCCAAGTTTCAGCTACCACCAAAGTGCCACTACAAATATTGTGACCTTTCTTTCTGTCCTTGATTTCTTCGGACATCTAACACGAGGATTTCTGAGTCAAAAAGTATGAAGCTCGGTGACTTTTCAAATAATTGTGTGCGTATACACATACACACACACACACACACACACACAAATGGTTCTTAAGTTTCATAAATTCACATTACGCAAATTCAATTTTATATAAAAAATTCTGGAAAAAAAATACACATTTCAAAAAAAACCACCTATGTCAACTTTACTGCACAGTATTGTGCTCTCTTGCCACTCCTGTCCTTCAGCTCAGTGCTCTGCAGCTTCCCATCTACCCCACCCCCACAAAAATTCCTTCAAAAAAAAAAAAAAAAAAAAAAAGCCCTCCAAGCAAGAACAGAAGAACACACTTCTGGAGACACCGCACTGTTGCCACCAGACCTCCAGCACTGAGAAAGAACTTTGTCTGTCTTCTGTCAGTCCATCCTCGGGTACCATGTATCTGTCCCTGGTCCCTGGTTCCTCCTCCTGCTATCGTTTCTCTGTCTCTAGCCCCTACATGTTCTAGAAGCGTGTGCCAGCCCATTCCTGCCTCCTTTCCTCTCATCCTTTTCCACATTAGTGGGCAAATTCACATTACATAAAAATCGGTTTACAGAGAGGTCTGTATCCCTGTTAGTTCCTTATACACATTTTGGATATCAGAAATATTTGATGCAAATAATTTTTCATCAATGAAAGTTTTCCTTCTTATCTATATTGCTTTTATTTGTGCCAAAAAATTTTAATTCTATGTAGCTGAAATTGTTTTGCTCTATTTTGGGTATTTAAAAAGAAGATTCAATGTCTGCCTTGGAAGTTGGTACTTAAGGTGAGGCTTGAAAGAAACAAAGCATTCCAAAGAACAGAGGTGAGATGGGAATGCACTGCAGGCATGAAGGACAGCTTGGAGATGGATGGAGCATTGTGCGTGAGGAATCTCAAGGCCAGTGTACTTGAGTAATAATATGCATAAAGGGGAATAATGTGTAGTAAGGTTTGAAAGGCAGGCAGGAACCATGTTGTAAAGGGCTTTAAATGGGAAACAGAAAAGTCTGCATTTGACCCTAATGCCATTAAGGAGCCACTGGAGTTTACTGAGCAAATGACACAGTCAGACCCGTCCCTTAGCAATATCTATCTGGAGCACGGATTAGAGTAGGTATAATATAGAAATGGCCGTGGGGGTGGGATTAAGGGTGGAAGTAGGAAGGATGTTGCTGTTAGGAGACTATTGCAATGGACTAGGCAAGAGAAAATGAGGACCTGAACTAGTTTGTTGTCTGTGTGAGTACACAAAGAAATGCATATAGGAAACATTGTGAAGAAAGAATTGACAAGACTTTTATTTTTACATTTTGAGTTCCAAATTCTCTCCCTCCCTCCCACTCCTACTCACCCAATGAGAAGGCAATTTATCAATTTTACAAGTGAAATTATGCAAAATGTATTTTCACACTAGCCATGTTTCAAAAAAAAAAGCAAGAAAAATAAAATGAGAAAATTATACTTCAATTTGTACTCAGGGTTCATCAGTTTTCTCTCTGGAGGCAGATAGCATTTTGCTTTCATCATGAGTCCTTTGGAGCTGTCTTGGATCACTGTACTGATCAGAGTAGCCAAGTGTTTCACAGTTGATCACCATTACAATATTGCTGTTACTGTGCACAATGATCTCCCAGTTCTTCTCACTTTACTTTGCAGCAGCTCATGTCTTCCCATGTTTTTTCTGAAACCATCTCCCTCATCATTTCTGATAGCACAATAGTAGTCCATCATAATCATAAGCAGCTTGTTCAGCCATTACCCAGGTAACAAACATCCCCTTGATTTCCAATTCTTTGCCACCACAAAAAGAGCTATTATCAATATTTTTGTATAGAGGTCCTTTTCCTTTTTCTTCTATCTCTTTGGGATACAGACCTGGTAATGGTATTAGTGGGTGAAAGGGTATGCACAGTTTTATAGAGCATAGTTCCTAATTGTTTTCCAGAATGGCTGGACCAACAGTTCATTAATGTAGCTATTTCCCTCTCATCCCCTGTAGCATTTGTCATTTCTAATAGGTGTGAGGTGGTAGCTCAGAGTTGTTTTCATTTGCATTCCTCTAATCAATAATCAATTCCTCTAATTGAGAGCATTTTGTAATATGACTATAAATAGCTTTGATTTCTTCTGAAAACTGCCTGTTTATATCTTATGCTCTTGTGATTATAAATTTGACTCAGTTCTCTACTCAGTATATATTTCAGAAATGAGGTCTTTGTCAGAGAAATCTGCTTTCTCTGATAAAAAAAAAATTTTTTTTGATGTCATTTTATTGTATATGGTAACTGAGCAAAATGTAGTTTCCCTGATTATTTCTTTTGATTAGGCCTATTTTTGCTCTGCTTTGTCTGAGATCACGATTGCTACTGCTGCCTTTTTCACTGTAGCTGAAGCATATTAGATTCTACCACAATCCTTTATTTTAAGTGTGTGTGTGTGTGTCTCTGGTAAACAACATGTTGTTAGATTCTGGTTTCTACACCATTCTGCTATGCCCTTCTGCTTCATGGGCGAGGTCATCCCGTTCACACTCAC